AAAAAATGAAGCTTATCTATGGGCTAGTTTTGACACTTACCCACTTGATTCTAGTTACCGTGCACAACTGGCGCATCACCTCTGTGAAGTAAATCATTACCAACCCAAGCAGATAGACCCCAACATCGTCAGCTCATCCCAGAGACCACCTGACACATACCCTTTGGAGCAGATAACTCCAGAAAAAGACAAATCTCAAGATATAAGATTTTTCAAATCACGATCAGAAATGAACGTCCCTGATGAAGCCTTCCAGAAGGTCGAAGATCTAGCTGACAACATCAACGAAGATCTAATGGAAGAAATGATGATGCACAAGAAGATGTATCCTTACTGGGACCCACTACATGGAAGCATGACAAGGAGTGAAGCCCAACAGATGAACTACTCTGGCTCCACTCGTTCTGACTAAAGTAAAGGCTTTAGTTAATGGCTGTCATTCTGACATGCTACTAAAGCAAGATTCTCTTATCTTTACACGTGTCTATTGCGTTTACCGCAAACGTGTTAATGAAGATAAGTCTGGATCAACTTTACTTTCCATGAAGAGATAAGACATCATTTTCGAATCTTATCTTTTTCTACTTTGTCCATACGTATGACTTCAATAAAGCATGAATCATGTTATTTTGTCTTGTGTAAGGCCATTATGATGTGTGGGCCATAGTTTGAATAATTTATTTCGGATTCCTCCTTGTAACATAAGTTTCGGGTCCGAATTTCATTTTAGTTTAGCGAAGCTTTGAATTCCGTGTGTTTGTTTTCGCTATAAATAGGGGATACTTGTAATGTTGAAGGCAGAGATCAATCGAATGAAATCAATACAAGTTCTCTTTAAAATGCTCTCTCTCTAAGTTTTCTCTTCTCTGAAAGCTTGAAGCTTATAATTCTTATTATCGTTCCCCACTTAGATGCAAGTATGCTCTACACTTGCCTCGAAAGAGGATCCTGTGTATCAGAAAGCTTCCGATCTATGAAACCATTTGATCTCAGAGTGCTCTTCTTAAAAGAAATATGAACTTGAGTGGGCTTTTAGCCGAGGGATGGCGCCGTTATGCCCGAGGATGTTCATACTTATCTTCATTAACATGTTTGCGGTAAACGCAATAGACACGTGTAAAGATAAGGGAATCTTGCTTTAGTAGCATGTCAGAATGACAACCATTAACTAAAGTCTTTACTTTAGTCAGAACGAGTGGAGCCAGAGTAGTTCATCTGTTGGGCTTCACTCCTTGTCATGCTTCCATGTAGTGGGTCCCAGTAAGGATACATCTTCTTGTGCATCATCATTTCTTCCATTAGATCTTCATTGATGTTGTCAACTAGATCTCTTTGCTTCCTAACAAAACAAATTCAAATTAGACTCAATTAATTAAAATGTGTATTATCGATTCAGGAGATTTTTCAATTGAGAAAATTCATCGACCTAAAACGAAGAAAAAAAAAGTAACTTTAGATTACTAGGGTTTCTTATTTATAAAATATTCATTTTTTGTTTTATTATTTTTATTTAAACTCATACTTAATTTCTTTATAGAAGATTTAGAATATTAGAATTAACATTGAATTGGTGATAAAAATAATAAATAAAATATAAATAAAAAGCTTACAAGTTTAATATCTTAATATTTTAAAATAATATTAATTGGTTGTGTCATTCATAAAAATCTACAAATGTTAACCTAGAAAAATTCAATGACCGACGCATAGTATTCATCATATTTCTCTGAATATCAACTCACATGACGGTGTCCATGCATGTTTCCATTACTCCTGATAAAATAATAATATTATTATTATTATGTGGACTCGTGATACACGGGTCTCAATTTTTCAGTGTTAATATATAAAAGTTGTACAACTAATTTTATGATTTTTTTTAATGAATTTAAAACAAAGAAAATGTGCTTAATGTTTATCTTTTACATTTTTTGAGATATAAATTTCCTAATACCCAAAATGACCCCGACACATGTCATTAATAGCCTAATTAGATCATACGGGACATTAAATTCAAATAATGAAGACTTCTCATCAAAATAGCAAAACCTTCCACATTATGATCAAAACTTTCCACATGGAATCAATTATGATTATACATTTAATTTATAAATATTTTGATGATAACAAAATATTTCTCATTTAATTTATAAGTATTTTATAATTTAAATTTTAATGTTGTGTTAAAATATATATGTGGAGGAAAAGATATTGTACAAAACATTTAAAGAATGAAAATTACGAGGACTTGTTAATGTTTTTAAAAATGTTTTTTTTTTAATTTAATTGATAACAATTTTGTCAATACAATCTTAAAAATAATTGTTGTTTCTAAAAACTGAAATAGCATGTTTTTTTCAAAACGGAAATCGCATTTTCATCTACTTTTGCATTGTTCATTTTCATCACCATGAAATTATTAAAGTTGTTTTCAACTTTTGATATGACTCTTTTTTATTGTTTTTAGTACTATTCTCTTTCATTTAAAATATTTTTCAAACTAGGGTATCAAATAATATTTTTTTCTATCCTATTTTTAAAAATAATTTTTTTAAATTCATTTATACAACTATTTTTAAAATTTAAACAATCAAAACTAAATCAAACAAACTCTATCTTAAACATAAAATATGATTTGATAGAGAAAGCAAAAGAAAAAATATGATTTGATAGAGAAAGCAAAAGAAAAAAATGTTATATGTTACCGATTTATCGTTATTTATTAGGATATACCAGAAATAATACAACGTCTTATCAAGTCTAGAAACAATAACAATCATGAATAATATCGAAGAAAATTCAAAGAAAAAGAAAAAAAATTCAAACTCAGAATTCCACAATGGGGTAAGAAGAAGAGAAAATAGAACCACATTGTTACCTACTGAGGGTTTCATAGGATAGACTATTTTGAGTAATAAGTACAAGTTATTTATTAATTAATAAAAGTCATTCTTTGAAAATTTTGGACTAAAAAACTTAGGAAACCTATGGTCATATTTTTGAACTAAAAAAAAAAAAATACTGATAAAACACCAGTCTACAAAAAAGACATCAAAGATAAAGACATTATTGATTTATCATTTGAAGAAATTCTCCAACATAAAAATCTAAGCTATGACCGGCAATTTTTCAAATTACTCCACTTTTAAAAATATTTAGATGACAACGATTTAAAAAATTACCATCTCCTTATCAAAGCAATGGACGAGGAGAGTTATAAAGTTACAATTTTTTTCTTTAAATTATAGGTAATTTAGTAGCTCTAATTTTCAAATTATTAGATTTAATTAATGAAACTTATCTACTTTATTCTATTAAAGAGAATATTTATTTTGTAAATGATTAAAAATATTTAAATAATGTTTTGAGAATATTATAGAAAATTAAAAAAAAAATTAATTTTAACACACTCTAAAATCCTCCTGAATAAGTTCATAGCTTTTTCTAGACAATTTTATTTAAACATTTTTTTATATTTACTGAAATCACTTCAAATACATTCCTGTGACATAAGATATCAATATTTAAGATTTTTTTTTTTAAAGAAACACATAATAAATGAGCCAAATAAGGCCGAAATGTCAAAAACACATTAAAGCTCAGCTAACTCCAAAAAAAAAAAAAAAAAAACACAAAACACCAATATTAGTTACAATAAACATCCAACTTCAATATGAAGTCATAATAAATTTATTAACACTCTCTTCCTGAAATGAAATAAAATTCACAAAATTTCTAAATATCAGAAAATAAGTAAAATAAGAGTGGTATCTCGTTAAAATACACAAAATTTTAAATGTCACAAATTAACTAAAAAAAAAAGTGGTATCAATCCTCATCAGAAAAAATTGTATGTAAACTCATAAACATTATGCAAAACATGACCTAAAAACTATTTTTAGTCTACGTGTATTTTTTATTTTATTTGCTAGTCTTTTTGACCAAACTACAAAATGGAGGCATAAGGACTAAAATGTGAAAACAAAATATTGTAAGATAACTGCGTAAGATTTTTATTTTTTAATATGGGGTTTAAAATGAAAGGTTTACACAAATAAAATAGATAAACAAAATGACTAATTAAGTCCTATAAGATCTTATTAGATTTTCAGTACTATTTTGTTGCCGTAGAATTACTTGCACTTTTTTTTATTGCACAACTTTCTGACCAATTTATGTGTGCTTGAATGGACTTTTGCCCAAGGAGTTAATCAATCTTATTTTTCTTGAATAAGATTCCTTACCTTGGTGAGAGTCATAGCTAAAATATATATTTTAGTATTAAGTTTTGAATATTCCTATTATGCTTGATATTATAGATGGCTAAAATTATTTGTCAACATGAGCTGCTGTTACTTGCAGATACTGATTTACATGGAAATTTTCTGACCGAATTTGGTTGGATGGACACTTGCTGACAAGCCTGTGTTTTTCCTTGCACAGATCCCTGAAGTCTTACCAAGGGTAAGTCATAGCTCAAATAAATATTTTAACTTTATGGTTTTGACAAATCCTATTCTGTGTGATGTTATTGACGGCAACATTATTTGATAGATAGCTCGTGAATTGATTTCATATTGAAAACATGGCTATTAGATGGCGTCCATATAGGGTCTATGACCTGACCCATCATTTTCAGAAAATAGACCGGCAAATTAGATCATAAACTTCATTACTAACGTAAGGGAAGGAAAATATTGTTTAGCCACCGGAAATGATTGGAAAATCATGATCTTTGGTGACTTTTGTGGTATGTTAATTACAGTAATATAATTAATTAACGTAGTATACATGATTGATTCCATTCTCCAGTTGTAAGAATAAATTAATCTCTTTATTCACTTATGATTCTTCGGCCTGACCTGAGAATCCAAAACAACAATTCTAGTGTAGTTATTTACAGCTTCCTATAAACCACATTGCCAACAGAACTGAAGCCATCTGAGAATTAGATGTATCTTTCAGGTCCCAGGTCAAGATCCTTATTCCATTTTGTGTTTCTATTTGAACAGAAGAGCTTCTTTTGGCATTTCAAGAAGAGACAAAACTGTGGCCGCAATGTGCTTTGATGAAAGCCCTGCTTCTTCAACCTGATCTTGGGGTGATCCATGATCAATGTACCTATCAGGAAGCATCATTGCTCTCCACTGCAGATAAAGCCAAAAGGGGTGTCAATTACAAGTGCAAAAAAAGGGACATATCTGAAGGGAATAATAATCTGGAAATGAAATCTTATTGAGAGCAACTTCTCCATAGAGGAAGGTTTACCTTTAGAGGTCCATCTAGGATACCAGATAAGCTCAAGAATTGAGAAACATGTGATCCAAAACCGCCAATAGAACCCTCTTCCACTGTGATGAGTATTTCATGCTCTTTAGCCAGTAGCCTAATGAGATCAGTATCCAAAGGTTTGCAAAACCTAGCATCAGCAACTGTCACATTAACGCCTACTTCTTTGAGCAATTCTGAGGCATGCCTGCATTGTTGGACTACAGAACCATATCCCAAAATAGCAACTCTGCTTCCTTCCATCAGAATTCTGCCTTTTCCTATCTACACGACCAAAAACAATTTCAATTCGGTGGCTTGACTATTATTAAGTTAAGATTCAGTTTATGAAATATTTGTTAGTTGCTGATTCTCACCTCAAGTGGGGTTCCTTTGTTATTGAGTGGCAAGGTGGCTCCAATTCCATTCCCTCTTGGAAATCTGAAGCAGCTTGGTCTGTCATCTATAGTTGCTGCTGTTGCAACCATGTGCATCAGTTCAGCTTCATCAGACGGAGCCATGACCACCATGTTGGGCAGGCAAGCCATGTAAGTGATATCAAATGCTCCACAATGAGTTGGTCCATCTGCTCCAACCAAACCAGCCCTATCCATAGCGAATCGGACAGGTAGCTTTTGAAGATCAACATCATGAACTACCTACACACACAAAATAAATACAGTGATGAGAACTTTTTTTATCGCCGTTAATAACTTACAATACAAATAAACTTAGAGAAGAAATCAATCGATCAGTTAATTTGGACTATTTTCATTGAACGATATTAGCTCACCTGATCATATCCACGTTGCAAGAATGATGAATAAATGGCACAAAAGGGCTTGAGGCCTTCAGCAGCTAAACCAGCAGCAAATGTAACAGCATGTTGTTCAGCTATCCCCACGTCAAAACAGCGGTTGGGAAACCTTTTGTGGAAATAGTTTAGACCGGTACCACCACCCATTGCTGCGTGAATGGCCACTATCTTGTTGTCTATTTCAGCTTCCTTTATCAAAGACTCTGCAAAGTACTGTGTGTATGACAGTGTTGAGGATTTTGCCTTAAACTGCTGGCCTGTTTTTGGATCAAACTTTACAACCCCTGAAAATATGAGAAATATTAGTGTTTGTCTGGATTCACCTAACATAATTTTAATTCACGCAAAATATTAACTACCTTGGTATATAACAACTCATCTGGTTTCAGGTTGAGAAATTAATATTAAGTACAATATTGATTTTGAGTTGTATTAATAGTAGGTAACTTTTGCATTAGATCTATGTTTATTTTACAATTTCGAATTTCTCGTTATGATTTTTTAAGATACAGAAGAAATATCCTTTTCTCACCGTGCATTCTATCTGCAGCTTTTTCTGCCGGGGGGTATCCCTTCCCTTTTTCTGTCACAATATGAATCAAAACTGGACCTGGAGCAGGCATTGCTTTGACTTTTTCAAAGATAGTGACCAGATCATGAAGGTTATGACCATCCACAGGGCCTATGTAGTATAAACCAAGCTCCTCAAATAATGTAGAGCCAGAACCGCTGATCATGCCTCTTGCATACTCATCTACTTTTGCTGCAACCTGGTGTGTTTGTCCACCTATTTGCTTTGTGATGCTCTTCAGCAGGAAAAATAGAGTCAAATAAATACCACAGGTTATTGAAAATAGACACGAAGAATATGATAAGTCTGTGAGGCTTACTTTTGCAGCTTCTCTAAGTTTGCGGAATTCTGTACTTGCTTGAATTTTGCTCAAAGCACTACTGAGGGCTCCAACAGGACTTGCAGGGCCATCGAGTGTGGCAGTTGGTAAAGAAACTTGCTTGTTGTCATTAAGTATTACTATCATGTTAGAATCAAGGAACCCTGCATTGTTCATGGCCTCATAAGCTTGGCCTGCTGTCAATGCCCCATCTCCTATCACTGATATGATGCTGTTCTTCTTTCCCAATAGATCACGTGCAACAGCCATGCCTAATAAATATTGAGAATTGTTGTTCAACCGGTGAGATTAGTGCTTGCATATATATCTGATGAACATGTATTGGTCTTAAAATATAAGAATCTCACCAAGACCAGCAGATATACTCGTAGAACTGTGCCCTACCCCAAAAGCATCATGAACACTCTCATCCCTTTTAGGGAAACCTGCAAGCCCTGAAGTCTTCCTAATGGTGTGCATCCTGGACCTTCTACCTGTAAGAATCTTGTGTGGGTATGCCTGCAATTTGGTTAGTTGTTAGAATCGCTTACACATAGCACACGCATCACACATGATACAATGATGGAAAATTGTGTAGTAAGAGAAGCAAAAATATAGAATTTTAATTTTGTTACAAGAGCAAATTACTCTAAATGAAGATTATATTTCTTTTTTCTCATTTAATTTTATATTAGAAAACAAGAACAGATCAGTAAGACCAAAGATTACCTGATGACCGACATCCCATATAATTTTGTCTTCAGGGGTGTCGAAAACGTGATGCAAAGCCACTGCTAACTCCACCACTCCCAAGCTTGAGCTAAGATGTCCACCAGTGTTGGACACACTGTGTACAATATCTGCCCTCAGCTCTGCTGCAAGTTGCTCAAGATCCTGATACACACATGCAATGTTTTCTCACAAACAAACCAACAAAACTCAAAGAAAACAAAAACTGTTGTGTCACCCACAGACAAGAAATATCCCGTGGTGTGGCTCTTAGGCCTAAGCAAATGATTCCTAGTTTTAAACCTGTGCGGACAGATTCTTCATGTGAATTGGGTAGTTGATTGTGTCCAACAATGGTGTAGCTGGTTTCTCTCCTGAGTAATTGATCTTCCACCCGTCTTTCTCCTTCCTGATAATGGTCTTCTCCACATCACCTGAGTCACTTGCTGAAGCTCTCACACAGAACTGACACAAACGCGATAAAACATCAGCCATCTTTGAACAATCAGTGAAAAAAGAATGGTCAAATTTGTTGTAAACCAAAGGAAGAAGAGTGATCCCCTATGGAATCAAACCACAGGAACACAAAAGAAATAAAATGAAAACCACAGTATCAAGTTCACATAGATGATGTTTAGTCTGGTTAGATTGTTAGATCACAAAGGGTAATCAACTGTTGTTACAGACACGTAGAATTGTGCGTATGATTCATTCACCAACCTTGTTTCTGCAACCATAGGATGGAGTTGGAGCTTTAGGTCTGTGGCATGGGGAGAAAGAATAGTTTGGCTTAACCAAGGTAGCCCCGCAGAAGGCCATGGTTGTTCAAACCAGTGAGAGAAAGAGATGGGAATTGTGAAAGGTGTTAGAAGTATGCAGAAAGAGACCAGATTATGAAGCAGAGCTACCTTCGCGGTGGTATTGCATTTAAACTGAATTGTGGAACTATCTTTATAGGGAGAAGAATGCATAAAAAACAAAACCAAGGCTGAAGAAGAATTGTTTTTTATTTCATTGTTTATATGGTCTAGTATTCTCCTTTTCCATATTTTTTTATTACTGCTTTTGTTGTTTGTTTTTATTTTATTCTAAATCAGCATGAGCAGAACAGGAGAAATCTAATTGTGCAATAAATTTAGAGAGAATTACATATTTAATTTTCGTTAATATTTTCTTTCTTTGGACTTCATCAGTTCTTTAGTCTTTTAGAAAAAAAAATATCTTTAATTAATTAATTTCCTGAAATACTTTAGTAAAACCTTTTTTACAAATTAATAACAGATTGATTATTAATTTTAATATGAAAATAGGTTCAGTGAACCCTCCATTATTGTGTATTTTTTTAGTTTCAGTGACAGTTGTTCATGTCATTCCACCATGGAGAAAAAATACACGATAGATAAGAAAGTAAAGGCACACCATAATATATTTTATAAAAAATAATAATTAAATAAACAATATATATTGAATGTGTTTGAAATGTAAAACATTTTTTATACTTACCTTAAAAAAATAGAAAAATTTGTAAGAAAAAGAAACAGGAAGATTTAAAATTATTCATAACAAAGTCAATCGAAAAATTAGGTCTGCTGAAAAGATCGGACCCAGCAGCCACAGTTATATTCTATAATCCATTTTTCATTTTTAGAATATAATCATGTACGTTTTCTGTTGAAAATGTTTGAATAGTTTGTAAAAGTTGAATAATGTTTTTACTATAGTACATAAAAGCATTGTATTTTATTAAAAAAATATTAAGTGTCTCGCTAGCTGTAGTTCAAAAAGGAATAAACAAGATAAAATAAAACATTAGAAAGATCAGTTAGTTCTCTAATAATAATTTAATAAAACAATGAATATTTAAGCTGTTAAAAGTATGTGAAAGAAAAGTTATACATAAAAAAGAAATATTTCCTTTTGCAATAGTTGAAAATTATAACTGATTAAATATATTTTTATCTTCTATTTATGATGTTTATTTTTAGTTTTTAAAAATAATTATTTGACATTTTAATAATATTTATAAAATAAAATTAGTTATTAGAGTTGAAAAATGTTAATTCAAGATTCAAATTATTATATTTGTATATGAAAAAAAATATAAATATAATTATACTTTAATTAAATAATTTGTTAATCTTTTATTGTGTATAATAATTTTTTAATCTTTATAAATATTAAAATATAAAATTAATATCTTAAATTAGATAAATCATTTTTTAAATTTTATATGTCACGTTCGAAAAAAAAATCTACTACGTCAATAAACTAATATTTTATTAATTTAATATTATTTATCCAAACAAATCTTCAATAATGTAGTTAACTTTATTTTCAAGACTAAATAAATATTATTATATAATTTTAACCTAAAAATATTCGGCCTAATAATTTTAATAAAAATATAATACATGAATAAGAATCACAATGCTAAAACCCAAAAATAGTTTATGATTAAAGTCTTAAAACTCATTTTCTATATGATTTTGAGTTTAGAGATAATGTGATTTTTCATATAAAAAGAGTTTTTGATCATTTTTAATTTTAGTACAATAGCAAAAAAATTAAGCAAGTTTAATTTTATTTTGGTTTTAAGCAGTTCAAATAACAGAAATGTAGATTATTTGATAAAAATAATTAAGTGTCATAAAAAATATTTATTTAATATGCTTTTCGTTGTAAAATAAAAAATTATTATATATTTTATTTTTAGTATATTAGCTAAAATATAACCAGTATATGTAAAGTTTTAGTTCATCTATAATTTTAATGCATTATTTTAAATACTGTTATGCTAAATTTAATAATATTTTATTATAATTTAGGACAATCAAATAGTATTCATCTTACAAAATATTGTTTGGTAAAATTCTTTACTAAAATTAAAACAATATTAATTATTATATCTTATATTTTAGTTATTTTTTAGTTTCTGTACTCAATAAAAAGACAAAAACATAATATACAGTAAATCTACGATAGTTAAGGGTGTCGCATTAACAAAGCATTTAACATATATTCATTTGTGAGGTAAATTTTAGATCATTTGTTAATGATTTGGTGATAATTTTTTATTAGTAGCTTCTTCATTTAATAATTTAAATTTGAAAATTAGTAAAAAAAATTGAATATGATCTAATAAAATTATAGTCTCGTCTTATATTCCTATTAAAAAAAACTAAATAAAGAAATATTTATAAAAATAAAGGGATTAAATTATTTATAATTAATATTTTTTTATATTTTAGTCAAAAGATTATTTTTTTTATTTGAAAAAAGGACTTATACCAAATAATTTCTAAAAGGTATAAATTTTTAAAGAAATAGTTGCATTATATTAATAAACCCAAGATCACATAATCATTTAATGAAAAAAAAGTATTAAAATTATAAAAATAAGTGTATATATATATATATATATATATATATATATATAATGTACTAAAAATAAAGATGATAAGAAAGAAATTGTACTGAAAAGGAAAACGTGCAAACCTTTTATATGAAAAAAATAAAATAAAATACCACACCCTTTTAATCATCCACGTAAATTTACCTAAATAATTAAGAGTTTATTTAACAAAACTAATCAAAACTCAAAAGTTAGTCAAGTTAAAAATTGTCAAAACTTTTTATATAAAAAAAAACACATATTTACGTTTGAAATTATCAATTTTCGACAAAAACCACTTTGTTGTTATAAAAATTGGAAAAAATAAAATAAAGCAGAGGATGAAAGGTTTAGAAATAAAGAAAAAGTTGTGAATGTAATTACTTTGTTCTTAAACTATACCAACACGTGGCATGTAAAAAGTGGATTTGTATTCACGGTATAGGAATTGTTACCTAATCTTTTTATTAGAATTTCAAACGGATCTTCGTGTAACAATGAAACTATTTACCGATCAAAAATGGAATCAACCAAAGAATCTTACCACTCCAATTATTATAATTTAATTATTGATTTTTAGGTCAAATTTTAAGTATATGACATTTGTTAAATATTTAAAATATTTTTTTTGTAATTCTAATGTAATTGATAATTAAAGGACGTCTTTATTGTACTGTAATTGGCTATGTGAAAGTATTACTTATTAAAATTTATGAGCTGAAAAAATTCTGTAGCATTTATATAAGTAATATTATTCAATAAAATTAAATGAGACAAATTAATAGAAAAAATGTTTTAAGAATTAACGTGCCAATTCAATTGTATAACGATCATAATATTCGATAATATCCACTAAATTATGATAAAAAAAAATAAAATATTTAAAATTGAACCAATTTAAAAATAAAATAAAAATTGATTAAAATTATTTTTTTCTTTTTAAATTAAAAAAATTTAAAATCGATCGATTTGGTTTGATTTTCAATTTCACACTCAGAAAATAATTCAAACCGAAAAATCTATGTACTCGTGAAATTAAAATATAAACAACATTTTTTGTGAGTAAATCGTTTAGTTTTCTTGTAATTTAAAATATGTATTATTATTTTTAAATAAATAAAAAATATATAAAATAAAATTAAAACTATAAATTCATGATTAATTATTTATGATATTTTATAATATGTTTATTTATTGAAAATTATTTTATTATAATAATTTAATAATAAATAATCGTAAAAATCGCTTAAACTAAATATTAGTTTGATTTAGTTCAGATTTTTTTAAAATAAAAATCAATCCAAATTAAACTGTATTTAAAATTTATATTCAGTTAAGGTGCTCTTTTATATAAAACTGAATCAAACTGCATTATTCACATTAAAAAAAATCATTTAAACAATCATATTTATTTATTTTAAAAAAATCATGAATTCGTATTTTTAAAATTGAATTGAACTAGTCTATAAGACTAAAAAGCCAATAAATCAATTAAATAATTTATTTAAATAAACTGTAAAATGGGTTTAAAAAATTGGTCAAAGAAAAAAAAGCCTAGTTAAAAAAAAGTCAAAAACTAACAAAATCATAAAAAATGATTAATAATTTAATATAACATCACTATAATTTATTAAAATAAAATAGACCTAAAATATTTATTATTTATTGTGTGTTTTAAATTTACTTTAATTAAATTTAATTTTTGATGTATTTGAAATATAAAAAATGTATAAAACTATATTTTACTTGTCAATTTGACTATTATGAAAAACTTTAAATATTATATTTTTAAATTTTATTTAATTAGTGTGATCACTATGTTGAATCGTAATTAAATTGAACTCATTAAATTTCGGAGCAGGCTCTTGATGAGTTAAATAAGTAGTTAGAATTTAAGAAGAAAACATGAACAATATTTGTCCATTTGTGAGGCACACCCGAATTTATGATGAGGTCCAACTTAGACCAGGAAGAAGCCCGACCGTCTCAAGTCAACAACTCGCATAGAGTTTGCAGATTTGACTCTGCCGTAGCATGCTCTGGTTTTTCTTTTTTATTTTTATAAAACAAGGAAATGAAGACTTTTTTAAGCACATCATATTAAGTTGACCATTCACAATTGCCTATTTTTACTGGTTCAACATACTCCATGACTTTTCTTTTTTTTCTTATTCCTTTCATCCACAGGTTTATTGATTAAATCAATTTAGAAGGATGAAAATATGGGTTACGATTCACAGCGGATAGTCGATCCACCTAAAAAAACATGTCAGAATAATATAAGTTGAGATGTTTGTGTCATAATTATCTGTAAATTGAACACTCAAATTATGATCAATATAATGTAAGAGGTGATTTGAAATTAATATATTTCAATTTAATTAAAATAATAATAATAATAATGTATATAAAGAACTCAATTAAATTC